AGCCCTGTCCTTAAACTAAGGCCCCCGGACCACGCTCCCTTCATAGTTTTGATTTAAAGAAATTCCAGGCCTGAGGGGAGGCAGTAAAACTAAAATAACATCCTTTTTTATTTTTATTCTTAAAATTGGGGGGTTTGGGGGGGTAATTAGGGTTACTAATGCCTAATTAGATAGAGGTACTGGGAATCGAACCCAGGACCTCGTGCATGCTAATTAAGCACGTGCTCTACTCCTGAGCCCTACCCTGCCAGCCTTCCCTCTCCCCGTAACATCTTTTTGCAAACTCAGAGATGAAATTGGAGTGAGGATGGGGAGAGACTGAAAAGCAGGCTGAGGGCTGGGAGGCGCAGCGACGGTGCAGCCGTAGTGTCGGCGGTGTCGGGGCTCCCCCTGGGAGGAGGAGGCCCCTCGGGCGTCGGGGAGGCTGGGCGGTGTGGGGGAGACGCGTCTGCTCAGGGAGAAACAGGCGCCTGGTCTGGGGGTCTTGAGATTAGGTCTGGTGCACGTTGTCTTCTCTGGCGCAGCCTCACTCAGAAGAACTGGTTTAGATGTTTATTTTTAACTGGAAGTTCAGAATATGTGGTTGGAAGAACACGGGTGGGTCCGATGCAGCGTCTGGCGGCGTTCTCGTGTGCACGTGAGAAGCACGTCGGTCAGCGGCACCGGCGTGCGCAGCTCGTCAGCGCGGGTTCCCGGCTCAGCGGCTCAGAGGTTAACGAGTGGTCTCCCCCGCAGCTCGCTCTGGAGAAGTACGAGGAGATGTTCCCAGCGTTCACTGACTCAAGAGAATGTAAACTGCTGAAGGTGAGCGGGTGGGGCCCGGCCGCCCCGGCGCTGCGCTCTCGCTGGCCACTGGGGGTGCTCACACAGAGCCGCGCCCCTCCTCGGGCTCACCTTGGCTGTGTCTGAGCCGGTCCCTGTCGTGAGGACCTGGCAGTGCGTCAGGGCGACACCAAGGCTGTTTCTGTATGTAAAGTGCTCGTGGGTGGACCTTTTTAACCTGCCAAACTGATTTTTCCATATTTTTGCTCCAGAAACTCCTAGAAGCTCATGAAGAACAGAACAGTGAGGCTTACACGGAAGCAGTAAGTTCTCCTTTGGGAGTAGCACGTTTCCTGAAGGTTCAAGTCACAGAAGGTCCTTTTTCTTTTCATTGTGGAAATGCTGAGCATTCCTTTGGACATCACTGGGGTTCACCGAAGCGTGTTTTCCAAAAGGCGTGCTTTTTAGCTCCCATGGACCTCGCAGGCGGACCTTCTGCGAGCCACGCTGCGTTAGCTGTGAGGCAGACGCACGTCACACGCGGCTGTTACTTCTTGGGGTGTTTCCTTTGGAAAATAATCGGATCCCTAAACAGTAAAGTAAAAGCAGTCAGATCTCATCAGTTAAATTTCAAACATAAAAACAAAGCAGTGAGAGTGTGTTACATTCTTGGCCTAAAATAAATGGGAATTTTTTTTTCACGTTCATCAATTTCCTGTTTTCCCATCTTTTTCCATCTTACGTGTAGAATTGAGTGAATTTCTCAGTGTCCTTCATTCATTCATCCATCCTGGCTTGGGAGCAGCGGTGGGAATGGCCTTTGTGCGGCTGTGCGTCCGTCCTTGGTGGTGGGCGGGGCTGGGCGGGGCTGGGGGCTTGTGCCCCCGCACACCCTGCGTCTGCTGTCCCCGCTCCCTGTCCAGCAGGCATCGGCGCAGCGGTGACCTCCACGCTGCCTCAGCCTTGGACGGGGTCTGCTGTCCTTATGGGAGCGTGTCGTTAACTTCATCGTAACAGTCGCGGGATGGTGGGAAAGTTATAAAGTGGAGTGCAGGTGAAAGTGGTCGTCAGTGGAAGTATTCAGCAGTTTCTGGTGTTTTCCACGGAGTCACCCCGTTCTCTGCCCTTGAACCAGGTAAAGGAGTTTGACTCGATATCCCGCCTGGACCAGTGGCTCACGACCATGCTGCTTCGCATCAAGAAGTCCATCCAGGGGGACGGCGAGGGCGACGGGGACCTGAAGTGAGGCTGGCGCCCTGGGCGGCTGCGGCCCTCCTGAGTTCCGTGTTGGGCCCGTGACCACGCCAGGGTGCCCGCTCAATGGCTTGTTTTCATTGCACACGAGCCCGGCTGTGCGTGTGTGCGTGTGTGTGAGCAGCTGCGTGCGTCCCTGTGAGGCAGGCGGGTGGGATGGACCATCCACCCGCCAGAGTCCCCAGAGCTCTAAGAACTGCTTCCGAGCCTCGCTGTGTCACTGTGGTCCGCGCAGCGCTTCGGTTCATGTTGCCGCACCCGACGGCCTTGGCCTTGGCCTTGGCCCCCAGCCCCCCGCTCTGTAGACGCTTTACAGCTTCTCTGTGACCTTGTGCCTGGATGTGTTCTCTGAACGTGGCTTGCAGCGCAGGACACCTGTTAGGCATCATCGATGACTTTCCTCGTTGGAAATTTCTTCTCTTTGCTTTCTCGTGATTCTTTTGATGGTGCTAGTGACCAGTTTCCGTGGGTTTTATGTTGTGCTGGACACTGAGCGCACGCGTGAGTGTCAGGAACAGCCATGTCTGCTGGCGGCCCAGGTGTGGACGGGCGTGGGTGGGCCTGCTGCCCTCGCGCACACGCACGCGCAGCTCCGTGAGGTCGGGGCTTCCTGTCCCTGCTTGTCCTCGCCCTGACGCAGGGGGGCTCAGCGGCTCGTCCCCCCCCTTCGTGCTCGTGCACCTTCCCACACGCCCCTCACGTCCATGCTCAGCAGGGCTGCAGGGGACTCACGTCAGGCTTAGCAAAGTGTGTCATGAATTGTCCACTTACTGGGCGTGTCGGGCTCGGTGGGGTGAACATGGTGCCGAGGTTCACGTGTGCCCAGCCAGGAAGGAGCCCCACGTCTCCGGGAGAGCCTGCTCTGTGCCGGTAGACTGGTCTAGCCTGTGGGCTTGGGTTCTGTCCTGTTAATTTGGCTCATATCTGTGCTCTGTTGACCTAGGACGCTGGGCCCTGCCCGTCTGTGACATGTTGACCCTGTACCTAGATGTGCTCTTGTTTTATGTCTGATGTGTGTTTATTGCCCTGGGAGGACAGTGTTGACACAGGTGAAACTCCCTGCCACGTGACACGGGAGGTGGCACTGCACATCCACGCAACGCGGGAGGTGGCACTGCACATCCACGTGACACAGGAGGTGGCACTGCACACGTTTCTGTGCAGCCTTGCTCCATTGCTCACCTCGGACGTCGGTGTCGCTTGTTGGAAGGAGCTCCTGGTCTGACCGCACAGAACAAACCCCTCGCGATGTCTTTGCGGCCACTCCCTTAGCGTCTCCGCCGCCCCCTGCGGACGCCGCCTGCAGGGCTGTGGTTCCGAGACGCGGATTCGGCAGCATTCTGTAACGTCAGTCGGGGTGATGTGGATTGAGATGAACACTGGGATCAGTGGCGGGGTTGAGGTTTTTTGTTTTTAATGTTTTACATGAAGAGAGTAACTAATTGCAGCGGCCACAGCAGGCCTGCCAGACAGCAAAGGAGAGCGAGGAGCAACAGCCCGGGAGCGGGAGCGGGACCCGGACCTCCCTCCTCGGACGCTGCTCGTGGCAGGCGTGGCTGTGACTCAGAGCCCGGGTTAGTGTTCCAGGGTTTGTGGGCCGTTGTTCGTGAATGAAGTGTGATGACTGCTTATGTTACAGTCTCTGTGTTTTAGCAAATTGATAAAGTGAGTTAAAATTTCTTACAGGAAAGCTTAGCTTTTTGTGGCAACGTTTTAATACCTTGTGTGAGCTCCTTTGTCATTTAATGCTTTTAAACCAGTATTTTGCACAGTCGTGACCACATGTGACGGTCTCACTACGCGTGTGTGCATCTGTCGTCTCCTCCGATAGCACGCGTTAGATCCCCAGCCACCAGGGCGCTCGTGGGGGGACGCGGGCGGCCCAGGCATCGCCCTCCCGTGGCCCGCCCACCCGCCCACGGGGAGCCGGGTCGGGGCCCGGCCGCGGCCTCTGCCCCCTCATGCCATCGCGGAGGGCTGTATTGTGAAAACTAACCCTGTGACTAACTTGCACCTCCTCAGAGAGTCTGTGTGACCCTGTGCAGTAAATAAAGTGGAAGTTACCAGCAGTGTGTCGGAGTCCTTCCTGGCTGGACTGCACAGGTTGGGGTGGCTTCCTGTCCTGGAGGTTGTCCCCACCGGGTGGAGGGCAGTGGTCAGGGGTGGTCTCGGGCCCGGGAACACCCACCCAGCCCGCCCCCAGCTCTGCAGGCCTGCCGCTGGCTCGGAAGCCTCGCCTGCACCTGAGGGAGCGGGGCTCTGAGGACACCTGGTGTCTCCCCGGGCGGACCCGCCCCGTCCCGGGGCCTTGTTCACGCCCCGCAGACAATTCAGAGCAAAGTCAAAGTGGACTAAGAGGCCACCCCGTCTAGGAATTCAGCCAAGTGGTGGGGGTTCCAGGTCTCTCTCATTCAAACGTCTCTCCTCAGAGTCTCCCACTGTGGGCTAGTTAAAACCCGGGCCTGCAGGCCTCGCGCCAGTCCAGTCCTGTGCGGACCCGTGGAGGACGCGCTGGTTCCCAAGGCCGGCTGGGGGAGGGGCGCACGGGTGGCCTGTGCCCGCGTCCGTCTGTCCCTACCTGCCTGCCTCTACAGGCCTGTCTTTGTGCCTGTGGACAAAAGGCCTTTTGCCTGAAATAATGTTACTTTAAGTGAAGGAACAGTATCACGTTTTGGAGACAGACACCCGTTTGGTCTCAGAAACGTACCCATGTAGCAAAGTATACAGTCTAACAGGTGAGAATAAAATGTAACAGATGGATCACATTTGTTGGTTGAGTTCATCAGCTGCAGCAGAACCAATAAAAGTGCTGCTTCCCCCCACCCCGTGGCCTTTCTTCCCCCAAACTGTGTACAGTTTTGGTTACAAGCAAAGGCAGCAGAGCTTGGGCGTCTAGGCTGAATGCGTCGCCCTCGCGATGGCGGGAAGGTGTGACATCACCTGTCCTGAGGCCCCGGGCGGCACTGAGCGCTTCCCCGCCTCCAGGATCAGGGCAACCATCACCAGCAACACGGCACCTGGACGGGGAGACACAGGAGACGCCCAGGATGCGTCCTCTGCAGGGTTTCAGGATTTCCCTGTTCTCGGGGGCAGCCCTGCCCTCTGCTCCCACGAAGTGGACCGAGCCGTGAACGTGGCTGGAGGAGCCCGGCGCTGCAGACTGACCATGGCCTTGGAGGACCGGCCCGTCTGCAGAGGGATGGCTGTCCTTGGGCTCTGAGACTCAGGGGCCGCAGTGGTTTCAATCAGGAATCTTTCTACAAAACCTACATTGTAATAATGGAAATACTTACAAACTTTTTACAAAACAAACATTTATTAACACATTAAACTAAATTTTTGTAGACTTCCTAAAGAAACAAAGACAATTCTTCAGTAGGTAACAAAATAATCTATTTAAATTTCTTGTTAAGATGAGTCCACCCAAGGGAACAGTACGTCAGCCAGGCAGGCTGGCTCTGCGAGAATAAAGCGTGAGAGTTGCTATTTTCTGTTCTGCAGACGCCACTGGGGAGCGCTGTCCTGGGAGGTGCAGTGACCTGCCCCGAGCATGACCTGGGCACTCCCAGCGTTTCTGTGGCTGTCACTGCCCTGGACTCACGCAGAAAGTACCTTTCTCTCAGAAAATGGAAGTGTTTTCACAGCAAGTTTAATAAATTAAAATACAAGACAACTAGTGAACACAGAAGGATTCTTTTTCTAAGTGAGCGTGTTTCCCGGGTCCCCTATGAGTCAAAGCACTTTGCACACGCAACCGGCCCTCCCAGGGGACTGAGACCCAGGCCGCAGGCGGCCAGCCTGGGGCGACGGGCGCGTGTAAGGCAAGTTATGTAAGGCACGATCCCAGGGGAGTGTGTGCCGAGCCTTTGGTCCCTTCTGCAGATCCGCAGGTGCTCCCAGGGGGACAGATGGGGGCCTGGGACTTGCCTGTCAGGCCCTGGATGTGAAAATGAGACAATCTGGGTTTCTCAAAATTGCAGAGAGTAAGTCAGAGAAACCTAGCAAGATTCCAGCATCCTGTGTCCTTACATTTGCCGCAGCCACCTCGGCGCTACTTGGGAACAAAGTAACTCAAGTGCTCAAGCCCCTCGCGTAATTTTTCGCACCCCTCTGCAAAAACTAGGCTGTTTCCTGCTACCATCTTTGGTAGAGCTTTTACCTAATCAGATTTTTAGGAATGATACCCAACAGCCACATTTCATTTCGAACACCATTTTTTGACACTTGTAGCCACAGATGCTGTGAGCAGCCACTGCCTAGGGTGCGGCTCAGCGCCTGCAGAGCAGGCGTGGGGAGGGGCGCGTCATCCCCTCCGACCCCCGAATAGAGCTGATTTGCTTCAATTCGACAGGAAAGAAACAGCTGAAAATACGCAGCCCCAGTTTTATTTCAGCGTGGTAGAAACACACCCGAAGTGAGGCCACACGGAAGCCTGTGGCAGGGAGAGGCCAGGGGGCGGCGGCAGCTTCAGGAGCGGGTGGGTGCGGTGTCTGCGGTGAAGCCAAGCAGCGAGCGTTGTGGACGTTGGGACAACAGGCAGCAGGGTGATGACAGCAGGACTGAGCGAAGTCACTGCGTCGGCCACCTCATTGACAAAGTCACAGAGACCGCACAGTGAGGACGTCTAAGGGGAAGCTTCAGAGACGGTGCGACAGGCGTGCGCGTCAGCACGACTCGGGAGGGTCGCCTAAGCCGTCCCTGCCCACCGCTTGGCCTGCGGCTCCTTCCTTGGCCACGACGTCACTGCGGGTCCAGCCCTCA